TATTCCAGTCCTGTGCCATCTCTGTTTTGCTGGAGTTGAGTGAAACACCCTGGCTGTCGGCATATACAATGCTGTGGTTTCTGTGGGTTGCAATCCCTTGCCTTCAGAGTTGGGGTTCCAGGTTCTGCATTAATACTTTGTTCTCAACTAAAATAAGTGTTATTATTTTTTACTGATCACAAAAATAGTTACCTACTCATAGCAGAAAATTACTCAATAAAAAAATCTTAAGATGGTAAAACTCACGTAAAATTCTGGTTAGACATTTCTGTGAAGGTTCTTTCTGTGATCCATCCTGAATGTACACCCTCCCTCCAAACACTTCTCTAGGCACATTTACATATGTATTAAAATACATTTTCCTCAAAACTTAATATATTATGGAGATTGCCCTATATCAACAATTGTGTCAATAACCTTTCTACATTGGAATTTCTCTTCCAGCCCCTTTCTCTGGCTAGATGTGTGTATGTGTGTGTGTGTGTGTGTGTGTGTGTGTGTGTGTGTGTGTGTGTATTAGTACTGGGCTTTAAACTCAGGGCCTGGGGCTGGCACTTAGCCTTTTTGCTCAAGGCGGGCATCCTGCCACTTAAACCGCAGCTTTCCTTTCAGCTTTTTGGTGTTAATTAGAGATAAAGAGTCTCACAGATTTTTCCAGCTGGGACTGACTTTGAACTGAGATCTTCAGATTTCTGCCTTCTGAGTAGTCAGGATTACAGGTGTGAGCCACTGATGCCTGGCATCTGTCTGGATTCTTGTGCTTCTGAAATGAGATGGTTTTAGGAAGAGAGGGGAGTCAGCTGGGTCACCATGATGAGTGCATGAAAGTAAGGCTGACTTCATTACCTGACCGCAATCCGTCTCGCCTTTGCCCAGCTTCCCCTGCCGCCCCAGCTATTGGGAGCAGGGCAGAACTGCCTTCCCTTCTTAAACTGCCTTCCCCACAAGCGAGACAAGGCGGGCTTCTTTAGCCACTGTTCAGCTTCTTAGGAATATTTATTTGGTCATGCAAGAAGTAAAACCAGCCCTTTACCTCCTTGAAGAGCCTCTTGGCTACTGCCTCTGGCCCAGGGGGATTCAACTTTCCATTTCTGCTTGGTTTTTCATTTTTTTCTAGTCCATTTACACAGTGACCTCCCTAGTTCTTCTTGTTACTCTTGGCAAAACTGGTTATTCTAGCCCTGGGATATGGCTTGTGGCTCCAACGTCAGCAGTTTTCAAATGAGGTTTTTTTCTCAGACATCCAAACCTAGAGCTCCGAGCTTCCCTGTGGCCAGCCCATGGCCACTTTTCTGTGGTCATCTGTTTTCCTTCCTCTGTTCAAACTCCTAGGCTCAGGCAGTTGATTATTTCCTGTGGTGGCTTCTTTCTGACCCGGGCCCCAAGGGCACAGGGAGGAGAGCTGCTGCCATCTTGGCCTCGAGGGTCCTGCAGTCTGGTGGGCGCTTCACATAGGGAAAACCTGTAGGAGGCCTTGAAAAGAAACAGGAAAACAAATGCAAAACAATAATAATACTTTCCATCTGTACTCTAAAGCCCTTTCGCTTACATTTATTATCCACAGTGCAGACCACATAGGCAGCTTGGAAAATGTGGAATGGTGGAGTGACTTGGAACTGATCAGATGTGTTTCCCAAACCTTCCAATCTCAGTCCTTAAGTGGCCATTTTGCTCAGTTTCATTCGTTGTTCTTCATCAAATGTGTATCGGGTCCCTACTGTATGCTAGGCGTGACACCTCCTTTCTGAATTAGATACAGAACTCACACCGTCCTTCACGATCCATGGTTTTCCACCTTCCCGTTATTCTCAATGCTTACCCCCCCATCCCACCTACTGCAGTTTCTATTCATTTCCTCTTAGTCTATTTTCAGTGGAAAGGGGAGCGTTTGCTCACCACCTATCGTATAATAACCCTTCTGAGACTGTTATTAGGCATCCTCTGTGCTGCTATATTTACCTCCTAATAAATCTGAGCTTTTCTGCCCTGCTGTACGGGGGCTGACTAAGGTTGCAAAGAGAGGCTCCGTCTGTAATCCTTTTGCTGGCAGTGCCAGGCTCAAGAGGAAGGCAGGTACAGTGGTGCCCATTGTTTGGATCAGAGCCAGCTGTAGAATAATTGCCCAGTTTAATGTGAAAACCTGATACAGGTGGAAAGGCTGGTTGGTAATGGCAGATCACAGAGAGCTTTCCAAATAATTGTCCAGTGTCAAGTGACCTGGGATGAATGGCCCATTTTTGTTTACCCTGTTCTCTTGATAGCTGATGATGTTCAGGCTTGGAGGGGCTCAGTCTTTCTAGCCCATTCCCCAAGGTAGCCTAGCTTCAAGAGATGTGAAGAGGGAGGCGTGAGCTACTCCACAGTGAGCTTTGAATCAGCTTTGGAGTCATCCAAAAGCCCTTGCAGAAATTGTTTCCTGGGGATAGCTTTGTATCCTTGGGACCAAACTGAAGCTGGATCGATGGATGGCTGTATTTGTTGGGCTCTTGATTGTTAACAAACAAAATAGAACCTTCAGTAGAAAGGAATACATCGAAAGGATTTTGGAGAGCCAACAGACTCTAGGCTTGGAAACTAGGCTTGGAAAACAGGAACAGAGGAATGCCCTGATGCTGGAACCAAGGCAAAAATCAGAACAGAATGGATCTGGCAAGGCCCTATGAGGCACTGTTATCCACCAACACTGCTGGCTTTGGATGTGGGCTGCTGCTGCTGGCATCCTTATCAGCGTTGCCCTAGATATACTGGGTATCGCAACCTCAGCTGCCTCTGTCAGAAAGGATTTCCTTGCTCTGTATCTTACATCACTGGTTTCCTAGTCACTGTCAGGCAGGAGTGATCTCATTGACTCAGCCTAGGTTCCTGCCTGACTGGGAAGACAAATACCTGGTGTTTTCAGCTTTTGTCATTGGAGACCAGCCCAGTCTCCCATAGCATTAGACAAGGGAATTTGCCAAACATGGAAGATACCTGGGGTGTTGGTTAGATGATGAATGCATACTTTCAGGAGAGAAAGAAACCACATAGTGGATATTATAAACTAGTTAGCTGTTTGCCTGATTGCAGCTGACAATCTTCTTTATTTTTACTTATTTTTTTTGTAAGTACTTTTTTTTTTTTTGTCGGCCATGGGGCTGGTCCTGGGCGCTGTCCCTCAGCTCTTCAGCTCAAGGCTAGCGCTGCCACTTGAGCCCTAGTGTCACTTCCAGTTTTCTGGTGGTTTATTGGAGATGAGTCTCATGGACTTAGCTGCCCTGGCTGGCTTTGAACTGTGATCCTCAGATCTCAGCCTTCTGAGTAGCTAGGATTAACAGGGGTGAGCCACAAGGACCCGGTTTGTAAATACTTTTTATTATTATAAAGGTGATGTACAGAAGGGTTACAATTACATACATCAGATAATGAGTACATTTCTTTTTAGATGATGTCACCACTTCCCTTGCTGTCTCCCAGTTTTTTTCCTCCCATTCCCACCCACAGGTTGTATAGTTCATTTTCTTATTTATTTTTTATTATTATCTTTAAGTAGTTATACAAAGAAGTCCCCATTCTACAAAACAGTATATGAATACAAGGTGTCTGACAACATTGTCACCCATCGCTCCTAACACATCCCTTCTCTCTTTTTTTTTTTAAATTGAGATTAGGTGATTACATAAATTTCACATATCTCACAGTATTGTGGAATAGTATACTTAGTTAAAGTCACCAACACATTTTAACCTTCACAAGGCACATAGTCATTATCATGGTTTAGACAGTTTGTGAATTCTATGAGCTTTGACAATAAAAATTATTTTTTACACATCAGGTGATGTTTACATTTCTTTCCTTTTGTTTAGTGGAAGCTGTTCCCTCTTTCCCTCTCATTCCTCCCTTCCCATTGCTGTCTTTGGGTTGCTTAGTTCTTTTTCTTCTATGTCTGGTGTGTATAGTTCCTTTTCTTTTTTTATTTATATTTTATTATGAAAATACTGTACAAAGGGGTTACAATTACATGGGCAAGGTAATGAGTACATTTCTTATCAAGCATTGTAGCCTCCTCCTTTGTTTCCCCTTCCCATCCCTTCCCACCCTCCCCCCGCCCCACTCCCCAATGGATAGTTCATTTTCAACATGGTGTCTAGTGAGTGCCATTGCTGCGTTTGTTCACCCTTTCAGTGGACAATCTCTTAGCATTCTTCAACTTTTTTTTTTTTGGTCGTGGGGCTTGAACTCTGGGCTTGGACGCTGTCCCCACACTCTTCAGCTCAAGGTAAACGCTCTGCCGCTTGAGCCACAGCGCCACTTCTGGTTTTCTAGTGGTTTATTGGAGATAAGAGTCTCCCGGACTTTCCTGCCCCGGCTGGCTTTGAACCTCGATCCTCAGATCACAGCCTTCTGAGTAGCTAGGATGACAGGCGTGAGCCACCCGCGCCTGGCTCATTCTTCAACTTTTAAAAGTACTAGACATCAACCAAATATAAGGTTCTTTTACATCCTTTTTATCTTCCAGTCCCTACTCTCACCTTGGGAGATTGCCAGATACTAAGGAGGTCAGACAGCATGTAGTTTGTGAAGGGGACCTGGAGCTCAAGCTGGGAAGATTGGGGGCAAAGAAGAATTATGTATCTGGGGAGATAGTTTAAATTGCCCTGCAAGAGGTTGTTTTTCTGGGGAGCTCAAGCCACTGAGGCAAAGAGGTGAAATTGTGCTTCTCTTCCTCCCATCCCTTCCTAGCATACAGCCTGGCCCACGTGGCCTTGTTCCTGAGACTAGACTAGTGTGTGTGTATGTGTAGCTAGTGTGCTTTGCTCCAACCAAGGGACCTCCTGCTTCTGTGAGGATGCGTCCACCCGATGCTCTTTGCCCCTACATTACAGGGTTTATTCAGGGGCTTTCCCTAAGTAGTTTTGCCATAGGCCCACCCTTTGGCCTCCCGCATAGACTGAGAAGTGATTGCTGCCTAGGGTCTGGATGCCACCGCACTGATGACCCCTATTTTCTGCCTTTTCCTGCAGCCGCTAAGCACAACTGGTGTCCTGAGCTCCTCTTCCACTGCCTCCAACAGGTCACGCAATAGGACTCGCTACCGGACCAAAGCCGTGAGCTCTGAGGTGGATGAGAGCCTTTTTGGAGCTGTCAAGGTAACACTCAAGCAAACCCCTCTGTGTGGCAGCCATGTGAAGGCAGTGGCCCTGTGCTGCTCAGGCCCAGGCTTGCACTGGTCACAGAGCTCTTGTAGGTAACTCTCAGACTGCAGACAAAACAGGAATGCTGAGGCCCACACTACAGAGTTCTACCTGAAGTTTGGCTCAGGCAAGCAGGAGTACCTGGCTTTCTGCATCCCTGAGGTCCTCATATTCTCAGTATTTATGTCAAGGGGAAGCTCAGCTGCTGAGAATGCAGTAGTAGCTCCACAAGAGGCCAGGATGAAAATGTTTGTAGGCCAATGGGCCCAACTTTCAGACTCAGAAAGCAAGTGATTTCTCTTCCACCCAGAAAGAGCATTGGGGTAGAACACATGTGGAGTACAGACTAGAGCTCCATGTAAAATTTTCTAGTCCTTCCCCAGTTGTTCAACTAAATCATTCATCTGGCTTTAAGAAAGGAGAAGATCTTTATCTGCAAGTCCCCTCTAGATGAAGAAGCTAAGAACTCCTACAGTGTTAGGAAAAGAGAGCTAGAGAGCATGAGAGAAGGTGAGAAAGAGTGGAAGAAAAGAGGAAAGGAGAACAAGACACTGCAGTAAGACAGGGAAATATTTAAGGAGATAGAAGAGAGAAGAAAGGAAGGAGAAAGAAGAGAAGAAAGAAGGAAAGAAAGAAAAGGAAAAAGAAAAGAAGGGCAGCATGAGGAAGAGAGTCAGGAGAGAGTTAATGTCTGTCTTTATCCCTCACTATCATCATTGTAAATCAAAGACACAACACAACATGGGTATCTTTTTCATTTTGAAGGTCCCTCTCCCCCAAGCAGTGTTCCTATTGGTAAGGGAAAGAATCACAGGAATGCAAGGTTTTACTTACACTTTTTTTGGGGAGGGAGGGCATTAGGATCAATGTGGAATTCTCTACTCAAAATGAAGGGAGGCTGGGAGTGTTTAGGAGTTAGTTGTCCTGCTGGCTAATAAAAGACAGAAAAATTCCAGTTGCATCCTGGATGTAAATATCCAGGACCTCTCTTAGCCAGTAGGGGGCAGAAGTGGCCTGTAGCACAACTGAGTGCTGCAGGCCTGGAAGCAGAGGTGGGCACCAGGGGGCAGCAGCAGTCAGGGGCGATGGGCTGACCGATGCCCCCAGGACCGACCAGGTCATTCTATGGCCCCCAGGCAGGCCCCAGTTACTACATTAATGGCAGGAGTTACTGTGTTTAGAAATTCCCTGAATAAGTGACTGCATTTGTCTTGTTATATCTAAGCCTTTTGTGAGCAGGAAGTTTTGAAAAACATCACACATCTACTCTGTCTTCATTGTGCTGAATTCTAACTCAACCATATTAGATTTTTAAGGACAGATCCCTACCAGGCATTTAGTTATATCTAACTCCCTCAATATGATTTTTTTTTTGTTGAGGGTTCAAAGTACATTCATCATTAGAAAGAATTAAAAATGGCTAACATCACAGAGTGGATTCATCTGTAACAAATTGTACTGCTTCAAACTCACAGTATGTGGTCCACCAGAAATAATTAGTCCTTCTTTAATAAAGGAGAAACTTTCATAGTGAGAGGAGAATTGAGAGACCAAAATTTTACTTTTCATTCCTGAGGCTTAAACTAAGAACCTTGTGCTCAAACTCAGGAAGAGCCTTGTGCTTACTGGGCAGGCACTCTACTCTCTTGAGCCACATGACTTAGTCCTTTTCTCTTGGTATTTTTCTTTTCTTCTCTTTCTCTTTTCTTTCTTTTAAAGAGAGGGTCTTGTATTTTTCCTTGGACCCATGAAGCTGCAGCCCCCATGTAGCTGAGATTATAGGCACACACTGCCATGCCTTGCATTTTAGGATTTTAAAGTAAGGGTAGATACTTACTTACTTGAAGTTAGGACTGACCAGCAGGAAGTTAGGTGACCAGCTTCTAGTCTTTTCTTTTTTTTTTTTGATTTTTTTTTATTTTATTTGTGAAGATACTGTACAGAGGGGTTACAATTACATGGGCAGGATAATGCGTACATTTCTTACCAAGCATTGCAGCCTCCTCCTTTTGTTTACCCTTCAAGACCCTTCCCAGCCTCCCCCCTCCCCCCAATCCCAATCTTTCTCCTTCCCCCCCTTCGCCCCCCCCCCCCCCCGCACCAACGTTGTAAAGCTCGTTTTGGACATGACAACTTGTACTTCTCATTGTTGCAACAGGTCCACCTGAATCTTTAAACAACTGGTTTTTCCCCATCTCCTCCACAAGTTATACTGACATCAAATATAGTGAAAGCAGGGGTTATACTGTGGGGGAGGGACATACCAAGCAACAAAGAGATAATCTTATAAGTGCATTAGAAACACATGCATGAAAGAAAAAAACATTAAGATACATATCTAAGGGTTCAATTTCCTGACATCACATTATCTGACCTTTTCCGCTTGACTCATAGATATACTAGATATTGCAAATAAGGGAAACCATGGGACCTATGTTTCTTTGGGCCTGGCTTACTTCACTTAATATAATTTTTTCCAAGTTTTTCCATTTCCTAACAAATGGGGCAATGTCATTCTTTCTAATGGAGGCATAGAATTCCATTGTGTATTCTCTGAAGAAGAAAGAAGGATGGCCAATAAACACATGAAGAAATGTTCAACATCCCTAGCCATAAAAGAAATGCAAATCAAAACAACATTGAGATATCACCTCACCCCAGTTAGAACGGCAAAAATCAAGAACTCTAATAACAACAGATGCTGGAGGGGATGTGGACAGAAAGGAACCTTACTTCATTGTTGGTGGGAATGTAAACTTGTTCAACCACTTTGGAAAGCAGTATGGAAGGTTCCTCAAAAGACTTCACATAGAACTCCCCTATGACCTGGGCATTTACCCAAATGTTTACAAACAAGACCTCACTAAAGCTACCAGCACAACTATGTTTATTGCAGCATTATTTACCATAGCTAAGATATGGAACAAACCCAGATGCCCCTCAGTAGATGAATGGATCAAGAAAATGTGGTATATATAATCTGTCTTTTCTGATCTCATAGCCCCTGGCCCGTAGCCAGAATGATAGCCCCATTGTGCTGCTCCGAGATAAACGTGCCATCCAAAAATCTCTTGCTTCCTTGAGCATGGACCATAAGCCAGAGACCATCCGGATCATCACAAGGGACATGGTCCGAGAGCTCATGTGAGTCCCCAGGGCATAGTCCCCCACGCTTCCCTCCCTAAGCCTATACTCCCTTCAAGGCTCTTTGCAGGAAAATGGGGAAACTGCTTTGGTCTTGTTCTGTCAATCCTACCCTTCCTTCCTTCGGTATTCATTTCCCTCTTTTTGCTTCATGATTCTTTTGACTCTATCTTGGGCTCTCTCGTTTCTCCCTTTGTATCCATTGCTCTCCTTGCCCTTTTCTCCTAGCTCCTTTCTCTTTCTTCTGGTGGGTTGTGGGATCGAAAGGACTGATAGAAGAGAAGAGCTTAGTGGAGCCTCCTTAAGTCCCCATTAGTGCACTCTGGGAAGGGAGGCCATCCAGATGAATCACTTCCTTTTGGTTACATGAAGTAGTCCATGCAAAGGGAAACTGACCAGATGCCTAATCAACCCCTCCCCTCCCTGCAAGCTCCTGCCCAGACTCTGAGGCTATCAGCGGAAATTCACAGGGGGCTCCCCTGGCTCCCTTGTGATTGGCCCAGCCTTGCTTCCTAACTGAAGTGGGCTCTCAGGGTTCACACCCAGCTCAGCCAAGTGCCAGGAGCCAGCACCATGCTCGATAGTTGTAAGCTTGTGTTAATGCTCCACTCCCTGCAACCATTCTTTCACTTTGTCTCCAGCCACTAACAAAGAGAACTCTCAGAAAATACTGCCTGTTGCATGAGCTGGGGAGGAACAGCTGGAAGACAGCACAGGAGCTGGGCTCCGCTGCAGCCCTCTCCTGAGCTTGATTTGGCTAGCTTAGACATCCAATGTTCAGATGGGGGCAGCAGCCATGAAGCCAAGCTTGGGGCCTGAGAAAGGGTTCCTTCTTGGAGTGTTCTTCTGAAGATACTCTGAAATCTTTATTTTCCCCAGACCTACTGTGGTAAAGTCAGATCCTTCCTGGTCACTCTAGAGCCCAGGTCATTCAGTGAAGCACAAGACCTTTTTCCTAAAGCCTTCAGTCCACTCACTCATTTTATCTTCTGGCACCCCACACTAGTTTTATTAGATGAGGTTTCACTTCCTGTCTCAGACTGTCTGCGTCTTCTTGCCATGTGCCTGTTAAATTGCCTCGCCCAGAAGCAGCTTTATTCCCAACCCCCAACTCCTCCCTCCCCCATTAATGTATGTCATTTGTTTGTAATCATTATAATTAGCTATAGGTTTGTTGAATGCGTTGGGCAGCTACCAGGAGAGGTCTATAGCCACGTCTCTGGTAGTTGTCGATCAGAGATGTTAATTAATATTTAGAGTTCAAAGCTTCTCTCTAGGCTGGATGGACAGGGATGTTTAGATTTCTCACCAGCATCCATTCCAACCCTATCTGGTGTCCCCTTGCCCTTTTTTAGAATGTCATCAAGAATCATCTATTTTTTTTTTTGTTTTTGTTTTGTCAGTTGTGGGCCTGAACTCTGGGCCTGGGCACTGTCCCTCAGCTCTCCAGCTCAAGGCTAGCACTCTACTACTTGAACCACAGCACCACGTCCAGCTTTTTCTGCTTATATGGTGCTGAGGAATTGAACCCAGGACCTCATGCATGCAAGGACACACACTCTACCACTGAGCCACCTTCCCAGCTCCAAGAATCGTCTATTTTTAAGGATAGGTTCAACATCTTTGTTTTTTTGTTTGTTTGTTTTGTTTTTTTTTGTTTTTGGTCAGTCATGGGGCTTGAACTCTAGGCTTGGGCGCTGTCCCTCAGCTCTTCAGCTCAAGGCTAGCGCTCTACCACTTGAGCCACAGTGCCACTTCCTTTGTTATTTTTTTTTAAAGTTTTTCTTTTTTTATTGTTAAGGTGATGTACAGAGAAGTTACAGTTACATAAGTAAAGTAATAAGTACATTTCTTGTCTTCTTCTTACCCCTTCCTTCATTTTTCTCCTACTTACCCTTTCCCCTCAGTCCCCCCTCCCAAGTTGTACAGATCATTTCCAACATGTTGCCTTGTAAATACTGCATCAACAGCTTTGTTTTGAGCGCTCATTCAGTACCAAGCACTGTACCAAAGACTAGGACAGATTCATATCTTGAAGAAGCTTGTAAAGAAAAAGACCCTGCACCAAGGGCCACCATCCGCCACCATCCTGGCTGTAAGAATAAAGAGGATTAGAATTCAGAGGAAGGGACCTGGGGCCAGTTGTGGAGTGTGTGAACGCTGAAGAGGGTCTTAGACAGCTGCAGAATAGGAGCATGAACTGATCTTAGAGATAAAGGACTTAAATTCTTTCATCCGTACCAGTCCTTGATTTTGACCTGGAACCCTGCCTTCTAGTGGCTGTGCAAATGCACTTTCTCCTGCCAGTGGCCGAGTCTGTGCCAGAGAGTTAGCACGGTACAGAGAGGGAAGCGAGCCAGGAGCAGGGTGCCCATGGCTTTCCTTCCCGCTCTTCTCTAACTCTGTTTATTCCTGCGTCAGTATTCCAAAAGAGGATCCTTCCGGGGAGTCGCTGATCATCAGCCCCGAGGAGTTCGAGCGGATCAAGGAGGCATCCCACGTCCCGACAAAGGAAGAATTGGAGGCTAGGGAGCAGGCCCTGAAGAAGGAGAAGGAAGCCCTTGTGGTAGACAACCTCCCTAATCTTTCCTTTCCACAGTGGGCGGCAGAGTAGAAACAGTGGAAAGAGCCCAGCGTCTCACACCAAGGAGACTCCATGGGTAGGGAACCCTAAAACATGACATGGGCGGAGAAGCATTGTAGCACCAGACTGGAAAGACCTTCCTGCGATGGGGGGGGGGGGGGGGGCTGCCCGGGCCCGGGGAAGGATGAGAATGAAGTCAGGTCCTTACACTTCTCTGCTCCGACAACGTCAAGGTGGGCTCAGGCAAAAATCATCCTCACTCACCTGTAGTAGCCAGACTAGTGCCAGGACCCAAGAGTACCGGGAATCACCCCAACTCACACAGCGTGGTCCTCCTTAGGATGCAGTGATGACACGCAAGAAGATCATGAAACAAAAAGAAATGGTGTGGAATATCCACAAGAAGCTCAGCGACCTGGAGGAGGAGGCCAAGGAGCGGGCTCAAAACCTCCTGCAGAGAGCGGACAAACTTCGCTTGGAGCAAGAGGAAGAGCTCAAGGACATGAGCAAGGTGGGTCTGGGGTCCTTCCCTCTCCACACTCCTATTTCCTCTTTCCTTTTATTCACATATAGGACAAAACAAGGTACTGGTAGGGGCCGGCAGGGGGTGAACTGAACCTGCTAAGACAGTTGTTCTAATTAGAGGACTGGCTTTGCCTCCTGCTTACTGTGTCACCTTGGGCAAATTTCTTGCCCTCTCTGAGTCTCACTTGCTTCAATTGCGAAATTGAAGGAAAAATGTAAAAAACAAAGATTAAATAAATAAATTGAAGAGAGTAAAGAAATAGTAGAAAACTTAAGAGTGCTCAAAAAAGTCTTTGAGGTAGCTTAGATGAATAGAATTTGTGGAATTTCAAAGGTTATGATAGGGTGGGTGCCCGTGGCTCACACCTGTAATCCTACTCAGGAGGCTGAGGTCTGAGGATCACAATCTGAAGCCAGCCTGGGTAGAAAAATGTATGAGACTCTTATCTCCAATTCACCACCAGAAAAGCTGGAAGTGAGCTATGATTCAAGTAATAGAGCATCAGTTTTGAGCAAAATAAACTCAGGGATGGCATCTAAGCCCCGAGTTCAAGCCCCAGGATTGACATGCACATGTGTGTGCACACTCACAGAGGTTTTGATAAAACAATACTTTTGAATATTTGCCTTAACTCTATAAATATATCTTAAAATGTATAAACACTTCATTAAGTACAAAAAGAAAATTGTGAAATGGGGGTGGAAACGCTACTTAGCAGAACGCTTATTATTGGCCAGGTTGCATAAGCAAAGATGGGAAAGCCTTTGTGAACTGTGGTTGATAAATCGACTCGAGGACATTGCTTTTATTTTTGTCTTGCTGCTTCAATTATGGCCTCAGAGAGTGTTCGGAGGGAGCAGGATTTTGTTTTGAAGTGTTTATCTCGCTTCCTTTAGCTGGGAGCATAAAGACCAGGGGCTCATTTGAAATTCTATTTTTTCCAATTCATTTGAATGTGCCTCATTTTTTGATCACATGAAAAAAAATGCTGACTCTCCAACTCCTTCATCTCTGTTTTCTGTCTCAGGTAAATCTCTATACATACCTTCTTTTATTTTCCATAGCTTTTACTTCTCAGTCCTTATTGATGGGCCCATGATTATTGTTTTTAAAATCCCTTTTTGTGTCACATTGGGCTCTTCCAGCTTAAAAATCGAGCGGCTGAGCATCTACTAGAGTGTCTTGGCTTCCCTGAGCTTAATGTAGGATTCGTGTGTTTCTCACAAATTATGAACCTCTGAAATTTTATGGATATTCTGGGTTTATTTGTGTAGGTGAAAGTTATAGAGGAGAAGGCTCATGACTTTCATTGTATTTCCAAATGGTGCTCCATTGCCTCAAACACTAAAATACCCAGAAAGATGCTGTTCTGGGTCTCTCCTTGCACAGACCTTAACACCAAATGTCTAGGAAATGTTTGAGCTGCACTGTGTGAAGGGGAAGGACAATGCCGGGATGCTCTTGCTTCTCTGGACATCTGACATCCCCAGCATCCTTGATGCTATCCTGCTTCTGTTTCTTTCCCTTTAAATTTGCACATCTCCCGTGCCCAGTGCCACATTTTGCGTTGCCTTCACTCCCTAGATTATCCTCAATGCCAAGTGTCATGCCATTCGAGATGCTCAAATCCTGGAGAAGCAACAGATCCAAAAAGAACTGGACGCGGAGGAGAAGAGGTTGGATCAGATGATGGAAACAGAGCGAAAAATGTCTCTTGAAAGGCAGGAGGCACGAGACAGGCAGAGGAGGGAGGAAAGAATACGGTAAGGATGTGGCCTTGACATTTCCCCATCTAAGTCATTTCTGTATATGTTCGTGTCTGTGTAGCCTAGCAGCAAGGGAAGAGATGAGACACAGTTTGTCATCATCTGTCATCCCTTATGGAGTGATCCAGAGAATCACAAAACCTTTAATGCTTATTTTCAAGATCATCACAGGTGCCTCCCAATCCAGATCCAACTGAGTCTTGAATCTCATCACTTCCTGCCATCCACTCACATGCGTCCCACGCCACCAGCATGCAAGGCCTTGGAGTCACAAGTCCACTGACTTTTGCTGTTCACTTTGCTGAGCATCTTTCTCTTCTTCCTCCTCTTTTCTTCCCTTTAGTGGTTTTGCTGTCACTTTCCTTGAAAACCTTCTCTCAATTTACCAGGCAGGCTTGGTGGCTTCCTGCTCCATGCCTGTCTAAGTTTATAGTCATGTACTTCTTCTCATGATGAGGCTGTCTGGCCCTAACCAGAGTGTGAGCTCATGGAAGACAGGGGTCCAGTCATTCATTTCTGAAGTCCAAGGACCTATTGGAGCATCCAAACTGTCCTAGGAATTTATTTCATGTTAGAACACATAAATTTACCCTCTCCCTCATTATGTAAAAAGGAACAAGTCTCTGAACTACTATAGACTCAAGGTGTCCTAGAGTTAAAACGTCAGCCATACAATGTGTGAATTACTTCTGTAAGTGATTCTTGGACCACACATTGGATGACAGTATTCTCTAGTAGGTACTCTGTACCCTGTAACAGGCTCCCAGGAAGAGTTTATTTAGTGGGTAAGTAGCTGTGCACCTTCTGCCTTACCAGAAATGAAGGAAAAAACAATCACCACCTCATTAGACAACCCTAGTGATTTGACTTGGTCCTCATGTTGAACCCACATACTTGCTTCAAGGCAACTCTTTTTACTTATTTTTTTGATACTTTGTTAAAGATCTTTATATATATTTAATTTTATTTTATTGTAAAGATGCTGTACAAGGCTCTTTTACTTATTGCTTCTGTTTATTTCATGTAAGTGTTCCATCTGACTATGAATCTTATATTCTTTCTGCTTGATTCCTATCCTCACCTTGTCTTCTCATGTTCTTCTAGCCTTTACTCAAGTCATGAGGTCTAAATGCTTCCATGTTGACTGACACCATGGTAACATGCAGAGGTCCCCAGCAGCACTGATGGGAGAGCCAGTCTCCCTGCTTTTTCCTGTTGGAAGAGGGCTTTGCTGAGTAGAGATACTTAGTCAAACTCAGCCCTGCCAGCAGCTGACAATCTTCAATAAAAGCAAGGATGTAAAGAAGACAGTTGCCCAGAGTAGGCATAGGAGACAGGTTAGGAAGACAAGATTAATTGAGTGATATATATTTGCTGGTCTTGGGGGATTGAACTCAGGCTACTATCCCTGAGCCTCTTTGTGCTCAAGGCTAGAGCTCTACCATTTGAACCACAGCACCATTCCAGCTTATTCTGAGTAATTAAGTGGAGATAAGAGTCTCACAGACCCAGGCTGGCTTCGAATTGTGGTCCTCAGATCTCAGCCTCCTGAGTAGCTACAATTATGGGCATGAGCCACTGGTGCCCAGCCCTGGGATTTTTAAATCTGTAAAAGTCTGGTAAGTTTGCAGACAAAGCTAGCTTCTTGTATCTTGTGAAGACATGGGAAGAGGGTAGATTTCAGAACCTCATTATAGACTGGATAGGAAAAAGTGTGCAAAGATATGGAGTTACCTTTTGGACAGATGGATGAAGAAGGAGAATCTCAGGAAGGGAATGACTCCAAACTAGGAACTCAAAGGAGAAGGGACCCATTTCCTACAGGATACGTTCTGAGGGAGGATTTTGGTCTGGACCCACAAAGCCTATGCATGTTTAAGGAGTACTTGTCAAATGGTATCAATGAAACCTCTGAACTTGGGGGTGAGTTGGGTGGAGGTGGTGGTGGAGAGACATGACTCGCTTGCTTTCTGAGCCACTGTGGTACTGCTGCTTCCCAGGGGAAGATGGCATATTATACAGCAAATAGAAAAGAACCAGGAGGAGCGATCACTGCTTGCTGAGCAACGGGAGCAGGAGAAGGAGCAGATGCTGGAGTACATGGAGCAGCTCCAGGAGGCAGACTTGGAGGTAACAGGCCAAGTTTCACCAGCAGCAGCAACAAAGCCCTCCACACTTCTGGGGTTTCAGGGTGTGGGCTGATTTTCTGTCAGGCACATGCTCGTTTCACAACATCATCACCACCATCCACTTTTTTATTGCTGTCTCCAACATTTATATGTCCATGGCGTCATGTTGGGGGATGAGCAGTGCTTTGGGTAGATATTTTCACTGCCTCCCAGGGACTTGGGGTCTGAGACTGACAGGTCAGTGTCAAACAGACACATAAAAGAAATATATGGCTGCATGTTTTCCACAAGGACACACGGGGGTGTTTTATAGTCATCCCTCAATTATCGAGGGGGCATTATACACTTTGTAGCTGAACAGTAGCAGTGTCTTGTTTCAGGCTCCCTGCTGGCACCTCATTTGAAGCACACAACATCCCATTGTCATTAACTGTGTTGTGAATTCAAACCTTCCTTCCGGTTAGCCAAAACAAAATTAGTAGGTGCAGCCTTGAAAAACAAAAAAGAACTTTAAAAAAAGTAAAGAAAAATAAGGAAATTAAGAGAGCCAAAACCCCCAGAAATCCGATGACTTACTAGTCTAAATTAAGTAAAGTTAAAGTATTAACAGAGTTAAAATGAACGCATTTGCCTGATGTAGTGTGTTGAATATACACACACCTGTAGCACAGTTGAGGGACACAGCAGGCATTTGTAACATTTATTATTTTTTCCCTTATATATAGTTTTGGAACTAATACAAGCATAGAAACTTAGAAAGAATTGTACCATACCTGTAGAGATTTCTTCCAGATTTCAGTATTGTTAATAATTTGCCTTAGTTGCATGTGCCTTTCTAGGTGTCCACATATTCTTTTCCTTTCTTTCTTTCTTTCTTTCTTTCTTTCTTTCTTTCTTTCTTTCTTTCTTTCTTTCTTTCTTTCTT